CTGTGGGTGTGTTTGTGTCTGTGTCTGTGTAGTTATGTTCGCTATACACAACTCCATAAAAAAAGCACGACTAAGCCAAACTGTTTCGTCGGACTTCCACCGACTCATCAGGAGGTTGAACCCCGACAGTCTCACCATGTCGTGTGTGTGTGTGTGTGTTTGTGTGTGTGTGTGTGTTTGTGTGTGTGTGTATGTGCCAGACACATGTGAAGTCGCAGTCGAGCGTCGCAGTGTAGAGTGGAATAGTAAAGTCGAAGTCGAGCGTGGTAGTGCAAGAAATTAGTAAAGTCGAAGTCGGGCGTAGAGTAGCGTAGGGGTCGAAACGTGCGCGCCGCCGTGCGTAGGATTTTCTCATGCCGCCACCCAAAAGGGCAGCCTACGGGAACCACTTTGCCCGTTGGGAAGCCCGTGCACAGAAACGGCCCACTCCAACGGGCAAGCAAACCGGTTTCCGGCGAAAGGCCTCGATCGGGTCCTGCCTGATCAATCTGGGCCGTCGGGCCCAAGGTACCGGGCCAACAGCCTGGATTGACGCGTGATCTTAAGATCTTAAGACCGCGCTCCAATCCGGCCCGTCGATCCGGCAGGACCCGACGGCCCGGATGACAGATTTGTTACATGATTCGGTCGATCTGGGCCGTGGGCCGGTAGGACCAACAACGCGGATGTTAGATTTGTCCCCTTATAGCGATTTTAATAGTGTAGGGAGGTTATCCAAAGCTAAATTGATGAACCAAAAAATGCATTTTGCCAAGCCTAAAAGTGTCCGGGTACAGGTAGTTGGGACCCCCCTGTTGAATGACTGGGTGCTGCTGGTAAGCTTCCCGGCCAGCAGGAGAGCCCCTGGAGGGGAGCACGCGCACTCCGGGGACATCCCTCCCTTGTGCGTGGCTAGTTCCGCAGGGGCAAGGCTGTCCGCTCTTCTTTACCGTCTCTATCTTGAACTCATGCTTGCTGGTGATGAGCAACCAACCAGACTGATGCCCCCAAGAATAGAAGGGGCCTTTGGAATTCTTTGGAGAAAAAAAAAAGAGGGGTCCAGGTACGGGGTAACAATAGTTCATCAGTTTCCAGCATGCTTCCTCTTGTCATGTTGAGAATTTCTGCGTGCATTGCCTCCCAGCTGACCTGCAGAGCAAACAGATACCTAGCTGGTTCCATGCCGCCCGAGCAGACAAGTGTTCTGACAAGTTTTCCAGTGCGGGGTTGCCTCTTCTGTTGTAAGATGTGAGGGCTGCGTAACCCCATATAATAATCTTATAAGCAACGCATTCCTGACAGGGACGGAAGGCTTTAAACCACTAGTACCTTTGTCGGTTTGAAAATACTCGGCCTCCGATCAGATTGATCAACGTCGGGCTCGGCCTCCTGAAAGTTCGGGAGCTGGCTAGTACTTGTCGAAACCGGCTGCCAAAGGTGCTAGTGCTTTAAGAAGGGCAGGGCCGTTAATTACTTGCGAACTCTCTCATCGGATGAAACTCAAACAGTACAAGAGATATGTGGAATGCACAGCCCTGAGCAGCAAGGGCCGACGGGTCTGGCCGTACCAGTTAGCAGTGTAGTTTGAGACAGTATATACTTTGTTAAAACGCCGCCTGTGGACGCATTAATGAAGGAGAAAGGAGAACAAAACAGGATTTGTCACAGCTGAAATGGGTTTCAGCTTTACGGTAGCAGATGCAGTTCGCAGGGATCGATCCCTAGACCTCGCCTTACCCATGTACAGTACCAGTTGCCCCGTGTGTGCTTGAACCCGCGACCTGTGTCTTGAAAGCTGCCTGTTTGGTTGTTGTAGATAGGGTGGTCATCGCGTCTCGAACAGTAGGTCTGTAGATTAGAAGGCTTAGCAATGGTAGGAGTCGTAGCTGCTACAGTCCAGAAAGGTCAAGTCTACGGCCTTCCGGAAGATCCGGAAGTAGCCTTTTGTAGAGTCTTAGGCTGCAGTCGGCAGGCACGTGGGCAACTGGGCAGTCTAACCCAGCCCAGTCAGTGGTACCCAGTCCCGTTCGCACTTTGTCAAGTCAGCAAGTACCATGTGGGACTGTGTGCACCCCGGGCCCAGGGTCCAGGGGCAGACCTTTGACAACCCGAAGTATAAATAAAGAGGCAGTGTCAAGTCATTCATTCATTCTGCCTGTGAGCCGTGCGGAAGCGCTGCCTGAGTGTCTTGTGCTACGGAGGTCTGCCGGTGCCCGTAGGAGAAGTGGGCTGAGAGGAAGAAGACGCGGCCATAACCGCTGGTGTTGTTAGATGTAGGAGAAGGCAGCCATAGCTGCCATAGCTTAGTGGTAGAGTGTTAGTAGGTGTGCGTGTGTGTGTAGGAGTGTTCTGTGTGGTTTGTGTGTGCGGGACATCCAGGGAGATCCAGAGTTGCATGTGCACAAACAAGTTGCTGAGTACAGTGGTCGGTCATAGCCGATCGAACCGAGTTTGAATCTGAACTGTGCTCTTGGCTTCGTCATCTCTGAGCTTTGTGTGGGCGGTTCTGCGCCCGTGTGATCGCATCTGTTTGCGCACGCCAGTGTGATCGTCATCTGTTTGTGCACGTGCTGAATGTCGACGTCAACAAGTCTGATTGCACAGCCGCTCTCATTAGGATTTTTCTTTCTTTGACTCCTCTGAGGTTGTACTTTTGATGTCTGCAGCGCCCCCACTTCTGGTTTAATCCGTAATCTGCATCGATCGAAAATTGAATCCGACTGTCCCTTGCTCACACTAAACTAAAGACTTTGTCGATTGGCACTTCTTGGTTTATGGCAACGCCGCAGCACTCTCGAAACGAGGGTTTGGAAAGTTGAGGCATTTCCCACACCAACCTCTCCAAAACCTGACAAAATATGAATTCATGAGGTGTCACAACATATTGTCGCGAGTACTCTCAAATTTGGAGAGTGCTATGGCCTTCTGCAGCTCTTGTTTGGGGAGCGGTCGGTCATGCTCTCCGTGGAAGCTTGAAGGATCCAAAAGTAGGCCTGATGTTGAGAACGTCAAGGGTTTGTCCATTCCTCTGGAGTCTTTCGACTTTTCCCGACCAGCCTTTGCAAGCTCGCGGTTCGGGAGTGCTGTGTCAAAACTCACAAATTTCATCTCTCGCACTCTGTGAATCCTCTCAAAAACGTTTTCATGCCTAGGCCAATGTTTTCATGGCTAGGCCAACGTTTTCATGGCTAGGCCCTTGGCGTCTACACATCAGATTCATGCCCCAGCATCCAGAGTCTGAATGTAAAAAAAAAAAAAAAAAAACACTGGTTTCATATACCTCACCTTACAAGCATGCAGACACGCTGACAATAAAGTTGAATAAACCCTAACAAGCAGTGGCAAAACTGATTGAGGCCTATTAAAGAAGTATGCAGCAGGAAAAGATAAGCTGCACATCAAGAGGCAAAAGGCAGTCGAGCCACAAAAAGAGAGCTGCCCGACTGCCCTCCATGATTATTCATTTACACCCGAAGAGTATGGAACGCATACCTGCGGTAATTCGCACTGCCGCCTCTACTTAGAAGCCGTCCTGGACTTGGACTGCGGCCTCGGCGGAATCCTCTTTGAGGGGCTCCATCTTCTCGTGCAGCATATTCAACGATGATCACTCTCTTGTCAAGTTTGCTGTAGCAAAAGATGCGATCATCAAAAGTCGTTAAAACTAAATCAACTGCACTTATTTGACAGTACAAGTCCTGTCTATCTTGAAAGTCAACAATATACACACAAAATGACGCAACTCAGAGCCCAGTTCAACTCCTCAGAAAATTCAAATCAAAACTCATTGGCTCCATTGACAATACAATTCATCTGTACCTATGTCTACCACAGGACTCTAACAAAATAACGCTTACAGTGTGAATACCACTTCACTCTCAACACAAGATTCACACAATAGAGCACACTTGAAAGGTGATTGCAAACTTCAAGTTGCACACAGGTCACTTACACTTCAACAGCTATAGCTCCCAGCACAACACTAGTCTCTCTCTCTCTCTCTCTCTCTCTCTCTCTCTCTCTCTCTCTCTCTCTCTCTCTCTCTCTCTCTCTCTCTCTCTC